GGAAAAAAATTGAGAAAATAGTGCAATTGTAGTGAAAACCTTTCCTGACTTCTTGGAGTATTTAAACACTAAATAATGCAATTACTTCAACTGAGTTTTATAATCACAATCAGTTTTAGTTAATTTGGCATAGCCTTCTAATTGCTGGTTTTCGGCTTAATGTAATTTGGCAAATTCTGTTTCAAATGCATTTTAAATTTGATCTGGAATAAACAAGGTCAAAAGTTTGCTGATATTGTTACTGTTAAAAGAAGTGACTTTGAACTATATTTTATTTAGAGAAATTATTACCTAGTGACCTTTTTTCAAGTTTATTTTTCCCTTTTTCCTTTAGAATATTTTAACCAAAAATATTTTTTTAAAATCCTGCTATTTACCTTCATTTCCCAGCTAAACACTTTTGCAATGTACACAAGATTTTTAAAGGTGTCTGCAACAAGCTAGAAATCATTATGAATTTTAATAAAATTTTGGAAGATATAAAAATAAACGTTTCACTTTGGAATCTCACAAAATGGAAGCGTACAGATAATTTCATTAAGTATTTTATTTTTTCAACAGTTACTTATTGAAAACACTGTCTTCTTTGGTATTTTATTAAATGTTGAGGAGAAAAAGGTCTTTATCTAAAGTCAATTATTTTATCTTGAAAAATGAACAGGAAATTAATTTAAAAAGAAAAATAACTCTTCTCTGCTTTCTCTGATGTCCTGCCCAAGGCACTGAAGAACTATTTTCTTTCCAGTCCTGCCCAAAAGATTTAAATCTGAGAACTGAACAATTTTGAGTCCTTTAAAAAGGCAATGAATTTAAATCTACTTAGAGGAAAGGTTATAAATTACATTAGGCTCTTGTCTCCAGCTTCAGAAGGGGAGTTAGAAGGCCCCTCTTTGTGCAGGGCAGACAGACACCAACAGTCCAGTAGTAGTCTTGTCTGGAGTAGTCTTGTCTTGTATTTCTTCATGCCTCCTTCTTCTCCTGCCAGAGGGCTCAGTGGTGACCTGCCATGAGGAGCCATCATTTCCTGCTGTTTGGAGCCCATGGAGGAGGCAGGTCTCTCCTTCATTAGTTATGTTAACCACAGAACATTATTTTTCCATTGCCTTAAGATCATTTTGCCCATGCAGAAAGTCTAAGTCATTAACTGTGTGAAAAATGTGGGCTGGAGCATGTGTTTTTTCCTCCTACAGATTCTCCAATCTGATAGAGTGCCAAATATATTGAATTGCTGATTTTTTATTTATTCTAGAAGAATTGTGAATAATTTTCCCTTAAGGTCAGACAAAACAAACAAATTAAAACAAACATACAAAAAAAGCTTCAAATCAAGCCTGTCTTCATTGATAGAGTGGTATAAATTGTTAGTGTGGCTATTTTTGATGCCAGGGATTCAGTTTCTAGTTTTAATGTATTTAATCCAAAGCCCAAGGACAGTTTCATCAAATACCACAGGATTATTTTTGCAGAAATGTAAAGAGGTGCCTGCATTACAGAAAAATGGAACAAAGTCAAGTTGCTATAAGCTTTTGGGTTATGCTGTGGTACTTGCACTAGTCTTCTCTACTAATTAGCATATAGGAATAATTCCATTTCAGAGGTTTGTTAAATTCATGTTTCACTGACTTCATGCTGTATATCTGTGCTTGTGTACTTGTTTAACAAAATGTTATACACAATGAGATTAAAGACCAAATGAAGATTCAACACACTCTTTATTTGATTTAAACTTTACTCCAGACCCCAAAGGATGCAAGCCTGGGCAGCAAGACTAGGACCAGCCTTGCTGTCTTGTACAGTTGAGAAGGAGACAACAATTATGCTGTCAAGATGAGAAGAGCAAGTAGAAACAGGGGTGGAGGAAGGACCACGTGCAAGGAAGAGATCCAATTTGTCAGTGCAGGTGACATGATGGGCTGATGAAGCAGCTGCCAGAGCAGCAGACCTGAGGTGAGGCACATCTGGCTCCATGAAGTCTGGGTGGCAGGCAGTGCTGGGCCCTTCCACGTTTGGCAATAGCTGCCACCTGAGACTGTGGCCCTTTCTCTGTAACCAGGGGCCAAGGACACTCTCCCACATCAGTGCCCACAGCAGTAACATTTGAAGGAACAGCAGGAAGACTGGGCAGCCACCTTTGAACAGTCTGTAGTACCTGAACTGGCCCCAAACGAATCCCACAGTGAGCTATTGCTACTGCCAGGGGACAGTGGAGCAGTGCTGCAGGGCTTTCTTGGCAGAAGGAGTTGCACCACGAACCAGCACCCACACTTGCTGGTTCACCACATAGGACTGCTGTCCTGGGGGGCCTGGAGGAAACTTATGGGGCTGCTTGCTAATCCTCTGTTCCATATCATGGCGCTTAAAAACAAAAGTAAAGCAAAACAGCCTACACTACCCTTTCTCTAGATGATCTCTGCCCAGACACCCAGCCCCACTCTGCTGTCAGTGGCTTTCTCTCTGTATGGCTTGTTCTGCAGCATAAAAGTCCCTGCAGCTTTTGGCCCTGTGTCTCTGAACAAGAAGTTCATCAGCTGACAGCTGACGCAGATTTCTTTTACCATAGGCAATTTTCCAGCCTCCACATTCTGGAGCACAGCTCTAAGGAAGAGACTGAAGTGAACAAACAGTCTGTTCTTCTCATGTGTTCCTTGGAAGACATGGGTTTTGAATCCTACAGATTTAGTCCAGTTTTGGCCTGTCAGTCTGATCAGCTATAGGGTACCAGAACACTGCTGAGACCACCCCACAGCAGGGAAGATACACAAACAGGAAGCCATGGACCAGCATCCCTGCTTGTGGGGTACTTCTGGAGATGTGCCAGAAAAGTCATTAGTGTTACATTTGTCCTGTGCAATGAAAGAAATGACCCAATCTTGTGTATATTTGGCATACACTGTGTCAAGGACAAATATTTGCCAAGGACATTGTCTAACTATAGCACTTGATGGAAGCTGCTGTCAAAGCTGTGTGCTCCAAAGGGTGTATTTTTTTCCTCACGATTCATTGCAAGGAAAACCCCATCCATTTAAGGAGGTCAGCTGGAACTGGGTCGGGACATCTGGCTGGGGTAAGTTTTTTGTGTGTCAGTTTATGCTCTGCATCTCCATTCTGTCTGTAATTATGGACACTGGGTACACAGGATGCTTTCCTACATGACCAATAATGTCATGACCAATAAATAAAAGCCACAAATTTATCACTAAAAGTCATTTTAAGACCTGATTGTGAATCCAAGCAAAAATGATATTTTAGAACCTTTTGAAGCAGTGGTTCAACTTCTGTCATTGCTCTGCTGCAGAGCTGTGCAGATGTTTGTAGTAGTCACAAAAAAGGAAACAACGGCAGGCTGTAACAGAACATTTTAGAAGCCATTAATAAAACTTTATGTTGTTATTCTGAAGGGCATTTTCTGCTGCTTTCAGCACAACATTGTGACTGGTCTTCCTGAGACGGAAAAAATGAAATGTTCTTTCTTCATCCTAAATAACTGCAGCCAGTGTGAGAACAAATCCTGGGGAGGACAAGATGATTTGCAGCTTCTGTACACGTGAGGAAACTCTAATGTTAGACCTACAAAAGGGCCCAAATGCCACCAAGCTTCAAAATGTCACCTGGCTTTGAAACAGGAGCAGCCAATCTTTTTGCGGCACCCCAGAAGAGAGAGAAAAGCTGACCTTGAGCTTACTGAGCGATGGCTCTAATCCCTCTGTGGCAGCTGAAGGAGGGAAAAGGGCTTCTACCAGTCATGGATTAGAAGGAAGTGGCAGCTACAGCCTTTGACAGTGGCAGCTCACTCTCAAAGGCTTGGCCACAGGCTCAAGCAAGAGAGCAGTCACATCACTTTCTGCAGTCCCTTCTGGGTACAGCATTCCCCAGCGTGGCACAGTTCAAAATTAAAGAAATAGTTTCTGCTTAGGGGGCAGGGAGAACAAAAATTTAATTCCTTTTAGGAGAGAAAAATAAGATACTTTGTTTCCCGAGGAATTATTGTATTGATGCATGTACTTTAATCCCATTTTGTCCCACTGGGACAAAAGTACTACACAATGATGTATTTCAGGAGGGACACTTACCTGAAAGATATTTTAAAGAGCCACCATAAAATCCTTTAATTTTGGACTTTATGATTAGGACACAACATTGCCACACAGAAGAGTCTGACACTGAACTGGCTGGAAACACAGGTCATCCTGCAAGAGGTGGTGTTTCCCTGTCGAGGATGGTATATCCTGGGATGTCGGAACTGGTCCTCTATGAGCCACTGGAATGCCTGAGGTGGGATAACCCATTTGCAGCTCCAATGTATATCTCCTAGGATTTACCACACTGCTCCATCAGAGAACGGCTGTATCTGTCAGAGAACTTACAGCTCTTTTAAGAAAGAGTTCTGAAAGTGCAGTTCCTGTGAGACTGCATCGAAGCAGAAATGCATTATATAGTGTTGCATAGAATTGTCGAATCACAACTTGATATGTTTCAGATCAGTCAGACAATGCAAATAATCTATAAGTGATTGCAAATAAAATATTTTAATTCTGGAAAGAAAAGAATAATTTGAATAAAATACTTTTTGAATTTTTTCATGTTTTCTTATTTTCTTTACTTGCCACAGAACTGTATGTGTGTATCTGCATGTCTGTATGTGTGTAAGCAACTTTGTAGCAAGAATCTACCTTGTGCACATCATGGATTTCTCTTCTTAATGCAGGCAGCCCTGCTAGTTCCTGAACTTTGCCCATCTGCTCAAGCCTAAGGGACAGTAATATAAAATTAATCATAGCCTGAAATTTCTTTGATAACTGACATTTGCACAAACAAGACCTACATGCACATGTGCACATTAGGAAATTAAAGTGTAAAGTAAATAAGATTAACATTGTGTGTTTCTCCTCAAAAACATATTGCAAGTCATTATCTCTCCCTCTAATGACTGAAATTCTGTGTGTAAAACAGAGTAATTCAATTTACATATCTGAATGCATGCCATTTTCTTGCTGTTGCAGGGCCTGTACCGCATGCCTCGTGAATTAAATCATGTCATTGTCAGGAGTCAGCGGAGCTGCGGGCGGATAACTCTTCCTGACGCATTGCGTGAGAGAACAGACACGCACCAAGAAGTTCTGCTCCTGCTGTCCCTCTGGAGCACTCCTGGCAATTTTGGGGGAAGGCTTCTGCCACTGTGCAGCTCTCCTCTCCCTCCAAAGGCAAACCCCGCTCCCAGCTAAGTTTTGTATCTCTTTGCACTCCCACAAAAGCCAATAAAGTTTTTTCCTGTCTTTGATGGTGAGACCAAGATTAAGCCCACAAAAACTGGGTGAATTTCAACCACTTGGCTAGAAGTTCACAAGATGTTGAGAGGTCCTGTCCTTCTGTCCATTGACAACAGGTGTAAGGCTGTTGGGTTGGTAGCTACATCAACCCCTGTATTCAGATAGATAATATGGGTTGAATGAAGTAAACAGAGTGTGAGGAACAGACACTTTCCAGCTGATGCAGGTATGACTGGGGATATCCACATGGGATGCCACAGAGGAGGAGGCCATGCTGACAAGTTAATTAATTTAAATACCAGTATCCACCATATCCAGGTATATACTTGCGAGAGCAACTAGGCACTTCTCACTGTTTTCCTGCTCAGTGAGTTGATCATAAAGAGTTTATTGTTTTTCTACACATAATGATGCTGAGGAATAAAATTTCCCATATAATAATAAAAAATAAATATTATTTCTTATTATTATATGGGGAATAAAATGTAGAGCAAAAAGTATTCAGGAAGCACTTATTACACTCTGTTCCAACATAAACTCCAGCAGTCAAGAAAGAGGACTAGTTTTTGGTTGCTTTTTTCCCAGCTCACACACACAGTTTTGGGATAAGAAAAGATTTTGTTCTCAAATGTCCATATAATTAGGCACCATAATGGGTGGGAATTGAGCACTTCAGAAATATATTTTTCATCCTGGCCTGACAGGCTCCAAAGAATCCCTCAGTGGAGGATTTTTCTACGGTTTCTTTCTGCATCAAGGAAAAAAGAATTTGTCTCTCTCTGCTGCAAGCTGCAATCCCTTCACTACCAACTGATAAATGGCCTCAGATTTTATTACGTTTTCTTCTTCTTTTTTTCCTATTATCTCTGCCACCTGTGATTTCTCTGCTCTTTGTAGAACCTTATTTCCTCCAGATTTAATTCCAACTGAGGAAAGTATACACTTATCTTTTCATCACAAGAGACCATTAATCTCTCCTGGAATGGTAGTTCTTGCTGAACCACAAACACAGACACAGGCTGGGCAGGCAATATGTTGAGAGCACACCTGAGGAGAAAGACTCAGGGTTGTTGGTCGATGAGAAGCTGAATGCATGCCTGCAATGTGTTCTTGCAGCCCAGATAGGCAACCATATTCTGGGCTGCATCAAAAGAACTGTGACCAGCAGGTCGGGGATGGGATTCTCCCCCTTTATTTCACTCTTGTGACAGCACTGAGTCCAGCTCTGGGGTCATGACAACATAAGAAGGACTTCATCATCCTGGTGCAGATCCAGAGGATGGCCATGAAAATGGGCTCCACAAAGAGCATCTCTCTCATAGGGACAGGCTGAAAGAGCTGGGGTTGTTCAGCCTGGAAAAGAGAAGGTTCTGGACAAACCTTATAACACCTCTCAGTGTCCCAGGGTGTCCTGAAAGACTGCTGGACAATGGGTAATGGCTTTAAATTGAAAGTGGGCAGATTTATATTGGATATTAGGAAGGAATTCCTTACTATAACATTGGTGAGGCACTGGAACAGATTGTCCAGAGAAGCTGTGGGTGCCCCATCTTTAGAAGAGTTCAAGGCCAGCCTGGATGGCACTTTGTCCAGCCTGATCTAGTGGAAGAGATCCCTGCCCACAGTGGAGGAGTGGGAACTAAATGACCATTATGTTCCCTTCCAACCCAAAACACTCCATGATTCTATAAAACCTTCTGTGGTTTGAGAGGCTCACCAGAATTTCATGCCAGAATTCCTCTTTTTATCATCAGAGGGAGCTGCAGATGCTGAGAAGGTGGCTCTAGACTGGTGCTTGTCATATATGACAGTATTCAGGGAAAGGGTTCTGCTTTGATAAACATCCAGGAGCCATTAGGAGTATAACAATTCAGCACAGGCTCCCATGCAGGCTTTTCAGGGAAAGGTAATGTGTAGGGAAAGGTAAATAATGAGATACTTTGACTGTCAGTGCTGCTTTACTTTTCCAATCACCTCTCTGCTTCCACCAGAGGAAACTCCCACCATGGGGCAGCACTGCAAGTGTCAGGAAGCAGCTGAAGCCACCTTGAATTTAAGTTTCTTTTTTCAGGGGAACATACATCTGATCCTGTCAGAAACTACTTAAAAGGTACCTGTCACCTCTGGACCAGCTTCTGAAAACTCATGTTCTTGGCCCAAACAAAAATGTGTCAGAGTTGACAGATGTGATGCTGGGATAAAATGACATTTTTCTATTATAAAAGCTCTCTTCACTGTTTAAATGAATGAAAGAAAAGGAAAATCTCATCATGTTAAACCTAAGCATTTAGTAGTGCTCTCATTTCTTTTCCCTGTTTTTGAGATGATGCTTAATTTGTGATTTCTGAATATCCTCCTGGGCTAGAAAAATAAGAACCTTTCTAGAGTAGGTGTAAAAAAATAATCAAAAATGATCATAAAGAAAGCTTTGAGTAGATGGATGATGTGAGTGACTGACAACTGCCTTCATGTTACATGATTGCATCCTTTGCAAATGGGCTTTCCAAAATAGTGAGATTCTCAGGTTTCCAGCAGCTTGTTCAGACATGGTATCTCCTTCACTAATGAGGACAACAGAGCTGTCTCTGCTTAATGTTATAAGGAAGCAGACATGACTGACTGAGATCCCTTAGAATTATTTGATATGGTTTTAGATATCCTTGCAATCATTCTTTAACAGCTCCTCACAGTGTGAACAGGATTAGCTTCTGCAGCCCTGCTCAGTAACATCAGATGCTCTGTTATTTCTGGCATTTGAGATATGCAAACACCTGATGGTTTTACTGACCCATGTCTATAAAATATTCATTACTATTAGATTTGGGGCTTACGTGTCACTTGGACTGACATTTATTGAATATTGTCTGCATTTTCACTATGAAATTTTAATTTACTGTTCTTAATGTGTAAGTCCAGATAAGCTTCATATTTTTAAACAAACAAGACTAGTACAGTGAAAAAGCTGTATTTTCCCCTCTATTCTTATATTCACAACTATTGGACTGAGGCTTTACTCATAGTTAAATCTCCCATCTTTCCTTCAGATAAAAACCATTGTGTTTCCTGGGTGTGCATAGTGAATAATATCCTCTTTCTTGAAAAGATATTTGGGTTCTCCACACCAGAAGTGGATTACTCCAAAAGCAGGAAAACTTTCAGCAGATGTTATGTTTGTTTTGAGCAGTGAACAGGAAGAGAGTGGGCATTGATATCACAAGGTGAGACAAGCATTGTAGAGTCACAGTTTTCCTCTAGCAACCTGAGATTGCCTTTGCTTCTGCCATGCTGAACTAGCTCTTAACTGTGACACTCTGACAGATCTCTGCATGGTACAGGAGATTAATGCAAAGCCAAGTGCAAAACAAAAACATATTTTTATTCATCACCCTAGTCTTACTAGAAGTGATCCTAATGGGTACCTCTGGGAAAGAACATTACAAAATCAAGCCAGAGAACTTCCCATAACCAGAAAGTCTCGATTCTCTCAGACCTTTTCATTTACCACTTCTTCCCTTATTATGTTCACTAAACATTAAGAAAAAAAAAAATCAAGAATCTAATAAATAGGAGTCTCTCTTTTAGCTGGCCATCTGGTTCAGGTGGATAATTATCTTTTGACATCTGTTCAGTGATATGCACTATACAGCAGTACTTAAATTTGTGATCTTAAGCCATTTTCTACTGGACACAAACATATCTGCAGCTGCAAAAACATTCTAAGGGTCTGCAGGGTCACTTCTGGGAAGCACCCAGCACATTAAAATTCTAATACTTCTAAATAGTAAGCAAATCTGTTTATTGGCAGTTAAACTTGTCAAAAGATATGCATCCTCCACCACTAGCCTTGAAAGGACACTGTGAGGGTGTTAAAGGGAAGGATTTCTGCCTTTATATCTGCCTTTATATTTGTACTTTTTGCATCTGCTCAGTTTTTCCAGCCTAAAAGAATAAAACACACATCAATTGTAAAATTGCAATGCAGACCCCCATATGGTCTCCTGGTAACTCACCAGCTCCTGTCACTGCCATGAGTTTGCTCCATTTGAAAAGGCTCTTTCTCTGTCATGAGTTCTGTGATTAAATGCTCTTTGCTGAAAATACCAGGTTACTGAGTGGGAAAGTGTGAACAGGAGAGGTTCTTCCTTTGATAAATAAAGCTATTTCCAAACATTTAGGAAAAGAAGTTAAGAAGTTTCAGGATGTTTTGCTTTAATCGTTTCTAATTTTTCTTCTACTCCAAACCAGCTTTCAAAGTGCAGGTAGTCCATGCTAAGCAGAGATGAAGATGATCAAAGGTAGGAATAAAAACTTAGACTCTTTGAATGTACTGATCTATAACTGATTTTAGATACCCATATAATCCTATTTTACAGCAATGCTATAATGCAGCTACCTGAGCAATTTCTGCTCAGCAAAATTGCAGAGTTTCTGAGGTAATATGATCTCTGCCTTGGTGCTGTTCCCTGGGACAATTTCCCATAAATTTTCTGTAGGACTGTGCTTGGTGACAAGCTCAGCCCTCCCCTTTGACCAACCCTGTCAGCACACCTGGGATCACTTCTCCCTTGAAAGCACAGAAAATGTCACCACCCCTTTTTTAGGTATTTGTCCAAAACTTGCTGCAGGGTTGGCAGTGACAAAGTCCTGCTGTGTATGGAGCTCTAACCCAAAAGATAGCACTTCACAGCTTGTCTGATCAGACTTTAATCCAGTAGCAGGCAGCCCTCATAATATTGTGGATGCTTTCGTATAAATCTCTCCCTCATAAAACCAATAATTGTATTCTGAGCACTTGGGAGCAGAGCATGCTCCACAGAGGAACCACAGGCAAATGCTGGGGATATGGGTGCATCCCTGTCTCTGTCTCCCTGACTGTGGGTGACAGACACTGTACCACAGAGTGGCTGGAGCTGACAGGCACTTCTGGTCCATCCCTATCTCCAGCAGGGTCCACAAGACCTGGCTGCCCAGGACCATATCCAGGTGGATTTTGAGTATGTTCAAGGACAGAAACTACACAACC